TAAACATTCGGGTCGTTTGCTTTGACGCACCAGTGAATATTATAGATATTTTTAATAGCAGTTTTTCCCGTACGAAGATCATATTAGAATTTCAAATTTGACTTTTCATAACCGTTACATCATTAATCTCCTCATAATAGTGTATCGCTTCTCACAGAATATATTCTGTCTTTAAAAAAATTTCTCTTTTATCCTCAGAAACTCCGTCATTGGAAGTACATGTTAAAAATAATTTTTCTCCCGAACAAACTTATGTATAATAAAATAAAATCTAAATAAACCTATAAACAAAATTAATTACGTAACTATTTTCAAGCAAGTATACGATAGTAAATGAAAAAAAAAATTATGTCAGGTTTTCTTAAAAATTATTTATATTACATCCGAAGGGGGCGTTTTTTCATTTACATACACACACAGACATTTCGAGAGCATTTGGGCTAAAAATATTTTAAAGCAGAGTATCTTTAGAATTACCGACAGACAGTCTCGCGCGCTGGAGATAAAAATTTACTTTTTTGTACAGTGTCGCTACTGCTTGCTTTGAAATCACTGATTTTTTTTAATCAAAATTTCGTTAAAGTTTCAAAATTAGGAAATAGGTAATAAAACAAATTTGAAATTCAAGATTTGGGTTTCCAGGCGCCCATATTTCGGTGGAGCACTACGTTATGCAAAATCTGATGATTCTAGGTAACTTTGTTTTCCATAGTATGAAAAATATACTTACATTCAAGAAGATTTTTTCATTATTTAATTTTTTCAAACTAGTATAATACAGGGCGATAATATTTGGCGGCAGCAATTTGAAAAGTGATACAGCCGTTTATAGAGATTCGACGTAAAATGTCGTTTCCAGACTAATAGCCCTTTTGGGCTAATAAAAAAAGAAAACTCAGACACGTTTTGGGGATTTCTTTCCCTTTGCCTATGTACAGTACGGGAAAAAGGGGGGACTGTTATGTATCTCACGTTGTACTAGGCCGTTTCACGAAATTTAAATTTCGTTTTTCATGTCTCGAAAACGCGGCTTAGAGTATATATTAGATTTCAATAGTAATATAAATATATATATATATATATGTAATAATAAAATTCCATAGTCAAGAATACACTTAAAATTCTAACTGTATGTTATTTTCATTTTTTAATGGCGACGGTCTCTTATTTAAAAGCACGTGGAATTAAATCCATATCCCCGTAGTCAAGTTGTTTTTCCCGCCTATTTCTACACGTACAGTTATAGAATGTTCTGGAGATATTTAAAGCGAACTGGAATGGGTGACGAGACTGACGCCATTTCTTGGAACCTCCGCCTTTCCAGAGGCTATAAAAGGACTCACAAAGGAATATCGGTGTCTTTTCTTTAATGTAACGTTGCAGTAAACTTCATACAAAAAGTTGTTAGTAATTCTTTTTTATTTACTCCGGAAATTTGAATTTGTGTAACTGCTATTTCTCCTTACCAATAATAAATGGATCCTGTTTTTTAAACTTATCGTCTGATAATTTAAGCTACCACTACATCTATATTTTTTCACCAATCTATTTATTCCGGACAAAAGCTGGTACATCACATATATATATAACACTATATATATATATAGCAATAATATAACGGAGTTACAATTCCTGCTTTTTAAGCACGAAGAGTATGTATAAGAAAATATTTTATAAACTATTGCAATTTTTTAAAAATCTAATATAAAAAAAATAATATTAGATTGTGCTCATATCTGATACAATTGATATAGTCCCTTGTAATAATTTTTACAATAAGCTGTTTAGAAAGAAATCGAATAGAGTGAAACAATGCAATATAAAATTTAAGAAAATTAGCTCCGGTCTCCGTTTCTTTCCAAGTTGTCCTGCTCTGTGTGTCTTTACTGGGTTTCTTTTACAGCTACATTGATGTAAATAGATTGATTTGTTTGTTTTATTTATATATATGATTTCTTTCCACGGTAAATGTATTCCACAGTGTATTTCGGTTTATCTGCAGTGAAATGGAATATGAACTTAATCTTCACTGACATATAAGTGAAAATACTTTGCTTTTAGATAAGCCTAATTATCCTCATTCTTCTTTTAATGTCCTTCAGCTATTGTTTCTACTATTAATGCCAGAATTTTTTTCTTTATTCCTTTCACATATTTCACACCCATTAATGTCAGAATTGCTTTTCTTTATCCCTTTCACATATTCATACCCATTAATTACTTAACCAGAAAATTTTTCATTTTTGGAAACCAATTTAAAAATTCTTACGTAGCTTCTTATCTTCCATGAAATTATTGCAGATTTGGTTACCGTATGTTTGAAAGATGTTTTTCTTCTGAAATAGTTGCGAAATGAGAAAAACAAAACAAATTTTCTTTTTTAAAAATAAATGAAGGAAAATCTAGCTGTCATGCTTGCAGGCAATGCAAGACAACTGCGTGCTCTTAGAGACATCGATTAATTTGAAATTTTCTACACTGTCGGAGTTGAAAACATAAATGGTAAAGCGAAATGATCATTTTTATCGCATCATTATGAATAAAAGGGTGACAGTTTCAAAAGAGTGTATTTGAGCGAAAAATTGAACGGAAATTTTGAAAGAAGAGACTATTATAAAGAAAATGAAGAAATATGATATAAGTAACATAAAACTGATAAATTCATACTCACTGATTTATTATGAATTGTGATATAATACTCATTGGAAGATAACGAAGAGGTTTCAAATTAAAAAGTACGATATTAATATTTCAGAAAATAAAAAATGTAAGAATAAATACAGGATAAGGGATAGAGAAGGGACGATATTGATGAGCCGATTATTGAAGTAGCGATAATAATAGTTAACTATCACAAAATTCGTGGTTATTTTGTTCGATATTTTTCTGAAACGATTTCTCATATGTTAAGGGTACACCTTATAATCCAATACGCGTTATCTCACAAGATTACATCATAATCAGAATGCTTAAAAATTATATACGAAATGGTTGCTGCTGGAAAAGAATGAACTTATTGAAATGTTTTCATGCACTTCTTTTTAGGTGTACATAGAACTCATAAACTTTGCCTAGGCCGCAGCCATCAAATTTATGTACAGTACATTAAATTAATAAATCGTTTTATTTTCCGTTTTGCAATATATAGGACATATAAATATTGCTTTGGCCGCAGCCCACTAAACTGGCGGCCTTGCTCGTTATCATCATTTTAAGAGCTGAAAGACAATTTTCAATATCGAAAAAATTTCCAATAAACTGGAAGATCTCACTTTCTTTAATTGTGCATTGTTTAAGTAAAAAATAGCGAAGGCAGAACTTTTTTTATTGAATAAGCTAGTATCTAACTTATATGATTATACTTTCAAACAAATTAAAATCAGTATTTAATAATAAAACATTTTGTTCAAGTCCGACCGTGATAAAAATATAAATTCACGTTTGAAGCAGACTTCTGCATTTCAAGTACTTCTAAGGCACTGGAAATGTGTATTTATGACTTCTTAAATTTTCTGAATATTTGAGCGTCAAAATCTATCGAATGTAAACTGTATTTCCAATATCCAATAATTTTAGTAAATTCTCAAGCATATTTCATAAGATAACAACATAAGCCTTCCTTCATCAGTAGAAAATTATTATACAGGTTAAGCTGAAAAAAACGAGCTGGCTTTTTTTTTTTTTTTTTTTTTTTTTTTTTTAATGGCTACGAATATGGCTGACTTTTACCAATTAGTCAAGTTTCCGATGGTACAAAGTCTCTATATGTTCTTTAGAATGTCTACTGAGAATATAACTTAAAAATTAGAACTAACAGTTTCTTCTAAAATTTAACATTGATTCACAGAGAAACGTAAATTAATATACCATTTTTTCTTGAATATGAAATCTTTGAATGAATCTCCCTTTTGCTCTGAATTTGCATTGACATTAATTTAGCACATGTGCGTGTTATATCAAGTGAACAGAATACTGTCTAGTATCAGAGAAATAGAGTTATGAGATTTAAAAAAGGGAGATCATTATAAACCAATGATGACTATTATCAGTGCTCTGGAAATCATTTGCATATTTTATGTTAACTTTTTTTATTCTAGTATTCTATTTCAAATTCTAGTTGAGAGTCATGACAAATATGTTAATATCTAGTGTATCTACCAGTATTAATCTTAATATCTGATGTATAAATCTACCAAATTCAACTGTGATTTTTTCACTGTCAGTAGATAATTAGAACTTCCTTACACTGACTTTCCTAAAATTTCTAAAAAACTTTTCAGATATTCAGGACAAAAATAAATGTTTAAATTCAAGACATATAGGTCATTCGTAACACCAATGTATATTTATCATATGAAATAATTTAAAATACATATATATTTCGCATTTTGTTAGAATTTTTTTATTCCTATAATTTTATATTAAAATTTTGTTTAAATATTTTCAGTTCCTATTGTACTTTAATCTGAAAATATATCTATTTCTGAAAAGCACAACCTAATATTTAAAGTTTCATAAAATTAATAATGCACGAAAATACGTTACTTCACATTGCTGTTGAACTGTAATGATTTTAATTAGCACTATGTTTTTCATATGCATTTGAAAGAACGTGAAGTAAATTAAGCTGAAGGAAAATATAAATTGCCAGTGTGAAATGGTGTCATTAATATTTCATATGCTAATATCGCTCATTGTATTTCATTAAGTTGCAAAACTTACTAGTAACATAAATACTCTGAAATAAGAATAATATTTTTAAGCAATGTAATGCAACTGACAGCAACTGTTAAACTGAATTTCGCCCTTGCCAGATACAAAGAATCTGATTAAAAATATGCAGGAAGTTTAAAATTAAGCAATACTCAATATGAGGTTACCAGTCAATTTCAACATTTTAGAAAAAATCAACTCTCCTTTAATATTGAATTTTGTCTAATTCTAAAAATAAAACTCTTAATACATAAATTAATACTTAAAAATACAAAACGAACTATTACCTGCATGGATAGTGTTTCAAGAATCATTCACTGTATTTTTGTGGACAGAAATATTCCGACTTTCAGTGATAATAAAATTTATACAACAAATGTTCTTTCCATAGTAAGGTCATTCATATGATTTCAAGGAAATTTATTTTCTCTTAATGTAACTTTAAAGAGTTTTTTTATCAATTAAAGTTTCGTAAACAAAGGAAAGGAGTCGGGGCTTTTCCCCTTTGAATTCTCTTTCTGGCAAATATGGATCAAATTCGCGAAAAACGCGGAAAAGCAATGGTGTGCTTTTAGCTCCTGTTTATGCGGCGCGCTGATGCTTCTAGTGGGAAGAGTTAAGTCGTAACTTTCCCGAGCGAAGACAAAGCAGGATACTCACAAGTCTCTTGTATGCTTGTGGCAGAAGGCTCATTTCTCTTGTCAGTTGCGAAAGATCGAATCTGTGCTGTGGTTGGTCGAGATGACTAGAGCAGTGCGCGGTCTAGCGGTGGCCAACTATTGGCTGAAAGCAAACCAGCGGCAAATTGGATACAGCTTGCTTTCATCGATTTTTGTCACTGAATAGTTTTTTTCTTTCTCTCCAACTTTCTACATTTTCTTTATTTTCGTTAAGTTGCGCGACGAAAACTATCGATAAAACGCAAATTTACATAACCGTGTTTCTAAAATACTCTCAACATTTTAGAATTTTGTGGTAACAGGAGATATCGATAAAATGCTTTCTAGTTAAGGCGTTCAGTTGTAATTATTTCCCACAACATAGCAGTCATTTCAAATGTATTTCAATCATATTTAAGTATCAACAGTTTTTAGGTGCAAATTAAAAAAAAATAATAATAAATATATCAAAAATTGGCATAGGTGGAAAATGCCAACGTTTTAAAGTCAAACGTATATAAAACATATTTGGGTACTATTCGAAGGCCGTAAAAAATCGCCAAACTATTGTTGATGCCAATGCTGCCAAAAATAATTGCGGCAACCCTAATAATTGCGACAAGAAAGGAAGTATTAATAGTAAATAACTATTTAAGATTGATGTTTTAATTTAGATGAAAGGTTAATTTCATATAGTAATACTTTTTTATTATTATAATTTATACGAAAAAGGCTAAACATGATTGAATAAGAGTAAATTATTTCAGCTCATTATTATAATTTATATAAAAAATGCTAAACATAACTGAATGGTTGCCTGCATCGCTATTTTTCTCTCGACTTACCGCTAAAGCATAATTTCATCTCGTTGGTTGTTCAAACGTAATTTTCTATAATGAATGATGCCTTTTCTTTGAAAATATTCTCGGTAAAGTGCAGAATCGCTCACTTATTTGTTTGCCGTTTTTTACAAGGGTAAAAACAATTGGATTTTTGTCAATATTCTGTTACTTTTTAAGTGAAAATAGGTCGATGTGTACATAGATAAAGTCAAGGGTGTGAGCAGTGCCATTTTGTGCAATTCTAGGATTTTTTTTTTAAGTGAAAATAGGTTGATGGGCACATAGATACCGAGTATGTGCAATTCTTAAAAACGCGTCAAGCAGTCAGTAAGTCTGCACTTTACCCAAAATTATATTGCCGAGTTTCGTCATGGGCAATTCCCAAATTGTTAAATCCATAGGATATCAAAAAAGGATTTAAAATCAAAAAAGGATTTAAAAATTAAACTAGTATTTCAATGGCGTTTTAAGAAATATAGAACTATATAAACTTACGCAACCTGAAATCAGCGCGTACACTAGATTTGGCGCGCTATTAAATGGGCGCGTTTGCTAGATTTGGCGCTTTTGCGCGTACATTTTCGCTGCACTTTTTTCACAGCCCTCGAAACCGAATAGTACCCATATTTGTTTAAAATATTTTTAATTCCATCGTTAGATTAGTTTAAAGTGAATATATATTTTTATCTGAAAAGAAGTAAATAAGGTTAACCATAACTCACTAAATTTATTAAAAAAAAAATTGTGTAGTTTTAAGATTTGCAATAACAATTTTAACAATTGTTTTAACCATATTTGTAATAAAATAACCTTAGACATATCTTTACTAGCAAAATCTTCAGAAGCGGAAACTTATTTTTTTTTTTTTTTTCATTAAGCCTTGTCATTACGCATTAACACAATAAGTAATTTTGCTTTCAAATTGAATTTGTATCTATATTGGGAATATGAAATTAGGTTTAAACAGAACGATAAGGATACTTAATCAAGCATTTTGAAATGAATTAAGGTCACAAATCTTTCCTTCGTATTTCACAATTGAATTGTTCATACTAGCGGGCTTTTCAAGCAAAAAACCAATTCGTAAATAAATTTTTTGTTGCCAATTTAACGTTTTCAGAGTTTTTAATTAAAAAAATTAATATTATCCGCAACCCGCAACAACAAATTCGTAAATAACAGTTTTTTTTTTTTTTTTTTTTTTTTTTTGGTGGGGGACAAATATACAGGTTTTCAGAGTTTTCAAAAAATACCTCACCTGATTAAAATCATACGAAGATAAAAACGTTCGAAATGACTTCTCACGAATTTTTAGAATCCATGGGTACGTGTCCCGAAACTCAACTCCCTGCCATTCCTGAGAAGATGATGTGTAAGCAAACAAACAAACAGACAGGCGAGCACAGATTTTAATAGTATGGACAACGGGCCTTTTAAGCAAACAACCAAATCCTAAACAAATTTGTTACTGAAAATTAGAGTTTTTAAAGTATTTAATTAATATCTCGCAACAATCCTCGACAATCAAAAATGAGTATCTCGCCCACCCCCAACAAACAATTAGTAAATAATATTTTTGTTCTTGAATGAGATTTTTCCGAGTTTTTAATTAAAAACCTCGACTGACTGATGTCGTACTAAGATGAGAATAATGGAAATAGCTTCCCATGAATTTTTGGAATCCGGTGATACATTTCTCGAAATTAAACTCCCCGCCGTCCCGGAGGAAAATAAACAAACAAATAGACAGACGTGCACAGATTTTAATATTATAGACAAAGGGCTTTTTAAATAAACAACTAATTCGTAAATAAATTTGTTGTTGCCAAATTAGCATTTTTAGAGTTTTAATTAATATCTCCCAAAAATCCGCAACAATCTATAATGAATATCTCTCCCAACCGGAAACAACCATGTGGCAAATAAATTTTTTGTGGTTAAATGAGTTTTCAGAAATTTTAATTGGTATCTCGACTGACTAAAATAGAACGAAAATGATAATGATGGAAATGGCGTCCCGCGAATACTTTGAATGCTGGGATACCTCTCTCGAAATTATACCGCCATTCCGGAGGAGATGATGTTCCAAACAAAAAGACAGATACGCTCAGATTTTAATAGCATAGATTATATAAGATCTTTAAGAGACAAGTTCATTATACACTCATGTTCATAAATTAAGGATAATTCGGAGTCACGCGGAAATCGAACTCTAAAATGAATATATCACCTGTAAAATCACGACACACATCTTCAAGAATCATATGCAAATTTCAGGAAGTAACCAGATGACACCGATGGTACGTCACAATGACAAGAGTGTAAGAGATTGATATATAAGGAATACAGGCAAAGAAGTAAAATTGCTCGCAGATGCTTTATAAGCATTTCAGTGCAATAACCGAATAGTTATGACACAAAGGACGCATTTGGATGATATTTTACGTGGTAGAATCATCGGCCGTCTGGAATGTGGGCGTACACAACTGGAAGTATCAGACGAAATTGGAATTGCCCAGAGTGTCATCTCCAGGCTTTGGCAACGATTCCGAGATGATGCTAATGTGAGTAGACGTCACAGCACAGTTCGCCCCAGAGTTACAACGCCGAATGAGGACCGATATTTGGCAGTTACTGCCAAAAGAAACAGGCGGAGCACAGCCTCAGACTTGTCTCTTCAGCTCTTTTCAGCCACTGGTTTCAAGGCAGACTGTGTACAGACGCTTAGGGAAGATTGGTCTATATGCTAGTAGATCTGTCAGATGCGTTCCACTTACTGCTACTCACTGTCGCCTGCGGTTAGCCTGGAGTAGAGAGCATGCATTGCGGACACCGCAACAGTGGGCTTGTGTGATGTTTTCCGACGAGTCCAGGTTTAGCTTGCAGTCTGATTCTCGCCGGACTTTCATATGGAGAGCTCCAGGTACCCGTTACTACCAAGAAAACATCACTGAGCGGCACCGTTATGGTGGTGCAGGTGTGCTTGTTTGGGGTGGAATTATTCTGGGTTCCAGAACTGATCTGCATGTTCAAATTAGAACCATGACAAGCCAAATCTATCGGGACGTCATTCTGGAACAACATGTATGTTTGTTTCGGGGCGCTATGGGCGCACAATTTGTGTTTATGGATGACAATGCCCGTCCTCACCGTGCAAACATCATAAGCGAATGCTTTCAATCGGAGGATATCACCCGTATGGACTGGCCAGCATTCTCACCGTACTTGAATCCAGTAGAGCACATATGGGACATGCTTGGCCGACGAGTTGCAGCCCGTCAACCTCCTCCTACATGTCTACCGGAACTTCGGAGAGCATTGCTTTTTGAGTGGTGTAATATCCCCCAAGATCAGATCGATAATTTGATACTCAGCATGCCTAGGCGTTGTACGGACTGTATTGCATCGTCTGGGAGACATACAATGTATTAAATCATAGCAACTCTTGTAATGTTGTTTTTTTGTAAATAGGTTTTTTTGTAATTTGCTTCAGGGAGAAAAAATCGCTAATTTCTTAATAATATCAAACATATAGCATCTTTTTTTTTTTTTTTTGCTCTTTACCTTTTGTTTAATAAATAAGCTTTACAAATAAGTCAAATTTGTTTTGCTTCTAACTCTTCCTTTGCCTGATTTTGCATTATCCTTAATTTATGGACATGAGTGTATAATGTATTGCCAAGTACATTATATAAAGTACTTTGTGCCTGAGATAATGAAGTGCCAAGCCTATAATACTATCCTGTGAACTATTTATGGACTATATCTTTCTTGTGGGGTCGGCCAGATATTATATTGTTACGGATTTTGTATTTAGTTAGCTATTTTTGGTAGAATTGTAATTAAATGTTTTTATTTTCTCGTGCAAGGCAGCGCTTGACAAGTTTTAAGAAAACGTTTAGCTGAAAAATTAAAAATACAGGAGCACGCGAGTTTAATAAATAGATATTTTGTAATTTATATTTAAACTCAATAAATGTAATTGAATACTGTGTTTGCTGTGACCGTAATTCTACTCTTTTGCTTCCCAGAAATCTCGAGAAAACGGAAAATACCGGAACATTCTCGTTCCCGATTAAAAAGCTTTAAAAAGCCGGAGCGAAACATCTCAGTCCAGTTGTTTACTTAGTTGTTGTAATTGA